GTACTATAACAAGATACGACTGTGAGGCCGGTTTACTACATGATGCTATACATAGACTGCACCCCATAAACTCAGCTTATTATGCCGCATGCTACTCTAAACCCTCGACGGACTACTGCAAGAAGTGGCGTCTGAGTTCCCATCTGAGCGTGCGATTCTGGAGGACACCTCGCGCCAGCCATCTCTGACGGCTGCCCCCAGCGTCTGAGTCGAAGGAGAAGCACAGGCCGCCAAAGACTGGGACTTAAGTGGTTTAGCAATTCCGAGCGAGGGAGTGGGAGTCGTCGTAGTCGTAGCTGTAGTATACAGCTGCACAGTCGTCAAAGCAACAATAGGCGTAGTGAGGGTAGCAGTAGCAGCAGATCACATTACAGACATCACGACAATTGAACTCCTGCGGGCCTGCTACGTTACGTACGACTACTACTGCTACTACTACGACGACGACCGCTACCACTACCACGACCACTACTACTACTACTACTACTACTACTACTACTACGTCTGTTACAGCATCCTCTGCCTTCCTTTCTTCCCCTACAGCACAACTACCTACGACCACTGCTGCTGCTACTGCTACTATGCAACTGCTACTGCTACTTCTACTGCTGCTACTGCTACTGCTGCTGCTACAACAACAACAACTACTACTACTACTACTACTACTACTACTACGACGACGACGACGACGACGACGACGACTGTGACTGCTACTCCTGCTGCTGATGCTGTTTCTTTGTGATCCGAATCCTCCTCCTTCCCGTTCTGTCCTACCATTTCTTCTTCTACCACCGCCACGTTGATCATCAACACCGATTGAGCCGCACAATCGGGGACGGAGAACACAAAAGAGTGCACGACGGTATAGATATAGATCTGTAAAGCACTGTAAGGTTCTATGACACTCAATGACCTTATAAGAAGTTTAAATTTAGGGTCGATACATGATTCGGAAGAGTTGGCCAAGAGGTCCTTGAAAAGAGCTAGGGCTACGGAACTTAAGCAAGCAGCACCGGTACCCCGTCAGAAGAACCTGACGACCTGGAGCAAAGATACTAAAGCAGGAGTGCTACCCAACCACAGGTGTCAGCAATTTCAGAAAGCCTGGCAATACATGAGCTCCTCTGTACCCAAAACTGTCCCCTGACCCTAACAGCCCAAAACCCTTCCCGAGATCGCAGCATAGGGCACTGGTCTCTGCGGTGAATGGCCGGGAGCAGGGCCGAAGACGCCAGCTGGACACTTGGGAGTTCTTGAGTTCAAAGGCTTTGATAACGTCGCCGGGTTTAGGGTTTAGGGTTTGTAGGTTTTTTTCCCTCTCGCATGAATGAGGATTGTACTTTGTAGGTTTAGGGTTTAGGGTTTAGGGCAAGGTGGGGAGTTTTGTAGATTTCCAGCGCCCTGTCATCACGCCATGTTCTTTACGATATCATCCATACCCACGATCCGGCCATGACCTGGTTCACATCGCAGCCACTCAACCGGGAGCGTATGGTGGATGCCAAAATCATGCATTGAAATTCCTCTTCATTTGAAGCCAGCTGGGATATGGATGCTTGCACCTGCAATCTTGCAGTCCTCATATTGGTGACAGAGAACCAGAACCTGACTGGGACGGCCGCATCCCAAATCTGAAGCTCTTTGCAAGTTATAAGGCAACGAAGATCAAGCGGACTCCGAAGCAGCCCAAAACGTCAATAAGCCTAAACCCGAAACCCTAAATCAGTCAATAACCCAAACCCAAAACCCCAAAACGTCAATAACCCTAAACCCTAAACCCTAAACCCTAAAAGCCCCAAAGCGTCAAGAACCCTAAACCCGAAACCCTAAACCCTAAAACCCCCAACGCGTCAAGAACCCTAAACCCTAAACCCCCCAAAGCGTCAAGGACCCTTTTTACACAGGCTTGATTGGAGCTCGCCCGGCCAATGTCCCCCGCAGCACATNNCGTCAAGAACCCTAAACCCGAAACCCTAAACCCTAAAACCCCCAAAGCGTCAAGAACCCAGAACTCTAAACCCTAAACCCTAACCTAAACCCTTTTTTTTGAACCCAGACTCTGCCAATCTAACCTAAACCCTAAACCCTAAACCCGAAAAGCTCCAAAGCGTCAAGAACCCAGGCTTGGGATCCATGGCGCCTCCGCGGTCCGAAGCCATGGCCGAGATCCAAATCGAAAGGGGAACTACGGAATTCAAAGCACCGGGGACGGCATAATGTGGTTATCTGCCCCTAAACCCCTAAACCCTAGACCCCAAACTACAGGGACGGCATAATGTGGTTATCTGCCCCTAAACCCTAAACCCTAAACTACAGGGACGGCAGAATGTGGTTATCTGTCCCTTTTTGCAACAGGCTCCGTACTTCTTTGCCCCTAAACCCTAAACCCTAAACTACAGGGAGGTTATCTGACCCTAAACCCTAAACGGAAGGCATAATGTGGTTATCTGACCCTAAACCCTAAACCCTAAGATCTCTGCGGCTATCTGCCTTATAAGGCTTTAGAAGGTAGGGGGCTGGGTGGTTGGGCCGTTTGATGGATTTGTTGCGTTGCTTCTCTTCCTAACTGTATTTCGTCACGGGTGGATGCAGGGGTCAAGATGAGTTTTTAGCTTGAGGAGCTGTCTGCTGAGTACGTTGGCATCGATTGCCCTAAGCTCGTGCTCCAAGCCCGGCGACACAGCAGTTTGTGCAGGCCTCGTCCTTGATCTCGCAGGAGGGCACACTAGAGCTTAATTACATACCAACTACACGGGCGGACCTACGTCTTGGCATCGTTTGTACCAAAACCAAAACGGAAAGATGTATCAAGTGTGCAGGTAGATCTGCACATTGATTAGGCCTATGAGCATCGGTTCTGCGTTCTTGCCGGGGAAATCAAAATTTCCGAACATAATGCTGCGCTTGCTGGTGCAATATGGCTGCTTTGAGCCTAGCTGACAACATAGTGTATAGCATAGGGTTTAGCAGTTTAGTGTGTAGCGCACAGGTTTGGTTCAATGAAGTCTATGCTGTCAGAGTGCTCCCAGATGCTCCCAGGGTGTTCGTCCATCTGCACACCGAAACGCATGTTGAAGTGGTCGCTTATGAGCAATAATGATATAATTGCAGCAAGGCAAGCTGCAATCAAGACACAACCTAAGGACAAAGGCAGCATGTATGTACATATGACACGCCAATTAAGACATAGTTGTATATGGCTACGGCCAATGCGACACTCCCGATGGCGACTACTAACTCACTGGGTGCTTCGATATGTCTTCCCATATGTGTATCTTTTCCACTACAAGGTTGCCGCAACAGCACGGCACAGGCGTCAAGCCCCATTCTTGCAACAGCCTGTTGGCTGCAATATCGTGCTGGAGCACTAAACTGTAGCAGCCGACTAAACCATCATCATGGTGACATGCAATCCTGTTCGCTGCAGTCGGATTCAAGTCCGGAATTCAGAGAACCCGAAAGAGTCCAGAGTGATTCAAGAACATGAAACAATAATGCTGAGTTCTCTTGGGGGCAGGTCCTTTGACCCAGAGCCCTCGATTTACGCACAGGCTGCTCCGTCACGGGCCGCACCCTCAAAACTGCTCCTGGCTGGCAAAGGCTGGCATGGGGAACCTATGCCTGAAACAAGCTTGAGGCATAGAGATTTGGTGGCTTGAGGGCCGAATTGCTTCGCGTTCAAGGCTTCCGCTGGGATGTTGAGGACTTGAGCAAGACTTGAGACCGGTGGGAGGGCAACAGAAAAGTCAGAAGCCACGAGCCTTTCGAACACATCTCTCTGGGGCGTTAACATATGAACTACCAAACCTTCTTGAATAGTACTGCAAGTAATCCATGAGCCTCAACGGCACAGCCACCGGTGAGCCGACGCGCAAGCTCGATCTTTTCCATTTTGCGTGCGCTCTTCGCCAATGCATTACACCGAGGGGAGATTTTTGTAAGAGTAGCAGCGCCTGTTGCACGTTTCAAACGTGCAGTTTCCAGGAAATGCAGCCTTGGTGAGCATCCTTAGGCATCACGCCGAAATTTGGCGAAACGGCTGTCGGTGGGACGGACTTCTGTCTGCTGCCAGCATAGAAAGTACAAGTTACAACTCCTCTCGTGGATTCCTCCTGGTTTTGATACACCTCAAAGCATAAACCCCGTCACACCTGCAGATGTTGATTGCTGGTTGCATCCAACAAATCGATGATGAGTCTCGGAGGATTCTTTACAGTGATGGTTATTTTTACTGTTAGATTGACAAAAAATGTCCCAGCATTATTCAGAAAGCTTATCCCCTACACCTAGCACACATTCAAGTCATTCAAGTGACCTTCAAGTCGCGGCAAGGTAGTAAAGTACCTACTTTGAAGCCACGGCCGATATCTACGAAGTGTCCCATGGAAAGTTGCAATGCCTCGTGGATGGCGACTGCAATGGTACCTTTCTTGTCCGAGACCACCGGCAGAATTAAATCTAAGCACAGACCCCTGGACTGAAGGGGTAGACTCGACTCTGGGATGGAGCATGTGCGTTCGCACAGCTCCTATCGAGCAATCCGCGCCACCTGCCGACATGCACTCGGAAAGTATCCAGGTTTGCAGGGCTCTGTGCATGGTCTGGGGCTTTCCTGCTTGCAGTCACATCCATATCCGTGCCATCCGATTTGTCAAGTCGTCGTTCCTTCTAGATTTATAGAAAAACGAGCAACGAAGCTTTCACTGAATCATCCTGCCGTGCTCGCGGGTCTTGAAAAAACTAGTTTACCGAGATGGCGGTTCTAGGGTGCAGGATGCAATCCAAGTCATATGAATGCCCCGGTCACGGGCTGCCTTTTGGGCTTATATAATGCGAACTTATGCTTGCAGATGCTGATGCCAGAGGCCACGCGCTGTGGCTCAATCCGGGTGCATGTTGTGGCGCAATCCGGCTCACTCGTATAAGTCTCACCATAAACCATGCTCTCTGAGCGTGTGGCCCTGCGCTTCCTTGGAACCGCTTCCCTGTTTGTCTCATGGCTAAAGTTCCCCGCGTCTGACTGGGTTTGCTGCACCTTGGCTGAAGACACGGTGGCGCTCTCTCGAATGTAGTATTCACATATATATATATATATATACACATACATACATACATACATACATACATACATACATACATACATACATACATACATACTTACTAACATAACATAACTAACATATCATAACATAACATAGCATAACATAACATAGCATAACATAACATAACATAACATAACATAACATAACATAACATAACATAACACAACATAGCATAGCATAGCATAGCATAGCATAGCATAGCATAGCATAACATAACATAACATAACATAACGTAACATAACATAACATAACATAAAAGAACATAACATAACATAACATAACATAACATAACATTACAATACGATACAATACAATACAATACATACATCTATACACATATGAGCTATAAGTTTATTTTCTTGTGGTCTCCGGCTGCGCGACCATCACGTAGTTACTGACCTTATTGGGGTCCTTCGTCCGCAGGTGGTGCCAGTGCACAGTAAAACACCACCCCCGGCACCACCAACGGCAACAGCAACAGCAACAGTAGCAGCAGCAAGAAGAACAGGGCTTCTACATGACATATGCATGTGTATTGCTACATGCGTACGCAACACGCGCACACAAACGTTCAACATGTGTGTGTGTGTGTGTGTTTGTAACACGCATGTCTGCAATGCATGTATGTGCTTATACATACAGACACAGGTGCAAAGCTCCAGTCATGTCAAGGCTACGGATGGATCAAACTTGCGTGCAGCTCTCCCCACAACAAGAACTCATGTGAACCCTGGTTTAAGGACCCCTAAATCCCCTAAACCCTAATGCGTCCTGCCTCTCGTCGAATCATTGGACCGCCCACGCGGGTCCGGTCGCGGAGCTCCCAGGGTCCGTGCCTGCGAAGTGGGATGGCAGGAGCTACTCCTGTACCGACCGGGCCCAACAGGGCCGGCCCAGCAAATGTTTTCTGAGGACACTTAAAGGATCATGGGACTTCGTAAGTAGGGTTATAGTTAGGGTAACTATACCTATAACCCCAATTAAGGGACTGATCACCTTATTTACTAAGTCCCATGATCCTCCAAGCATCGCCCTTCACAGGCCCAATGCTCGAGAAACCTTCCGCTCTTTGTTAGTAAGGATAGGGCAAACCATTTCGTAGCAGCAGCAACGGCGTTTGAAAGGACCACCCCACCTCTGTCCCAGGAAACCAACTTTGACACAGACCCTCTAGAACCCTGAACCCGTAAGGAAGCCTTTATCTGCAGAAGTAAAACATGAACTCTGTTGGCCTGCACGGCTTTTCTTAACTCTCAATACAGCACACAGAGCATAAGCCTAAAACGCCAAAGCAGCAAGCACCACCCTGACTCTTCGCAAGAGAAACTGTAAGACACCTGAACACTAAGTCCTTAAGGCCCTGAATCCCTAAACCTTATAAACCCGAAAACCTAACACCACGGTGTACCTGCGGGCGCAAGCACGGGCCCATGCGCGGCATCGACTTCGGAGGTGCCGGCGCTGGCAGCTCCGAAAGCCTGCAGAGGGCTTGACGTGTAGGGGGATAACCCTAAACCCTATCTATATATATATATATATGTTTTTACCCTCTATATATATATATAGGGTTTAGGCTTCCCAAGGCTTATAGGGTCGAAGATCCAGAAATCGCGAGGTTTGAAGTGCCGTGCTTTCAGCCCTTCAATAATGAAAAATACTACCTTTCATACAAGACAAAGGACATGTGCTAAAGCGACCAGAAGAGCCTAACTTATGATGTTATGGACCTGACGGGGGGGGGCACGCATGTAATTACAGGTATCTTCGAAGGACTCTACGGCTACTCTCCTCTATGCTCAGCACCAGGCGCTAGAAGCCAACAGCCCTCCCCCGAAAGTGGCCTCCTCAAACCCTCAACCCGCAAGCCTGAATAGGCTCTTAATCCTCCAAGCCCGAAAACCCTAAACCCTAAACCCTAAACCCTACCCGAAAACCCTAAAGCCCTAAAGCCCTAAACCGAAAACCCTAAAGCCCTAGAGGGACGGAGCTCCCTGTGAATTTCAACGCGGCCTACTTCCAGCCGGCAGAAGAGGCTCGGGAGCCGGCTCCGGCCTGAAAGCTGGGATCCATGCAGTTTGGGTTTAGGGGTTAGGGTTTAGGGTTTAGGGTTTAGGGAGTTTAGGGTTTAGGGTTTAGGTTTGGAGCTTCGGGATTTCGAGTTCCGAGTTTAGGCGCCCCACTGTAGCAGGTGCTTTAGTTTAAGGCTCTGTGCTTGGAGGTTCATGGGTAGTTATGAGTGGGGTTGTAAGTCCCCATAAAACGGGCTGTAAGTATAGTAACCCTACTTGTAACACCATGTATAACTACCGATGAACCCCCAAGAAGGGGGTAGGGCATGAGAGATGGTTTGAAGCTTTTCTGCATCCAACAAAGTCAGAAGTTGGAAGCTCATGCCGGGGTTAGCCAGGAGCACACGGGCTAAGTGCCAGCGGAAGGGTCCAAGATGAAAACTGTGAGCAGGAGGGCATGTTGTTGCCTGAGCCTCTGTTCAGGACATGAGGCAGAGCAAAGAAGACACAAGACCTCAGTAAATGCCAAAGAAGGCTTCGGTTCCTATTTGGAACATCACACTTCCAAGGACAGGGATGGCCAGAAGCCGTTGCAAGAACTTGTTTCAACTCCGCGACACTGGGGGTTAAAGTTCAGGATTTTAGGGTGGAAGCCACTGCAGGCAAGTCCACGTCCAACTATTGCAGACCCAACCCAGTGAGCCTACGACCCACAAATCTGATCAATACGAAACCCTGCAAGCATTTCACAATCCGAGGCGGCAGGCTCGGCGAGGTGCGATTTCGGAGTTGGGTCAGGCGGCGGTGTCTCCCTGTACTGGCAGCAGCTATAGTGCTTGCCGGTTCCGGGTTTCGCGGTTGGGAAACCGGGCGACAGGCTCTCGTTCGCACTGTATGCCGATCGACCAAATAATTACGCCGCTGGAGTGAGATCCCCCCCAAAAAAAGTCCACTTTCTAGGTGCAACTAATTCTGGGGATCCGCATGCAAATCCTGTATGCGTAGATTCTAGCGTTTGCGGTTATCGGCGAAATCTAAGCTCCAGACCCCATATACCAACAACCCAAGAGCTATTTACAAAAACTCAGGGTTCCATTATCGGTTAAGGGTTTCCGGATAAGTGGGATCCTTTCACGTTTTGCACTCGCAGTCGACTAAGTCAGGCGAGGTAGCAAGGGAGGATCGGAGCTCCATCGTAATAGCACCCTTGCTTTTGCAAACTTCATTTTCCAGCAGTAGTGCTAGTGTTAAAACTAGTACCAATCTTGGTATGCGCACCTACCGATGCTATTACGGCATTATTGCGAACACCGTAAGTGTTGGTCTTACTGCTGCTGCTATAACTTATGACTTATAACTATCCCTCACAGTCTGTAAGCTAGGGTAATGTAGGGGCCTCAAGAATTAGAATAAGGCTTTGGGCATATTATGCTATATACTTATATTAGGGAACCCCCACAATAATATAGGTAGTTATTAGGCTCCTATATTAACGCAAGAACCTGGTCTTCTCTAAAGCCCCGGATTCCCAACGTGGAAGCGAGCAGCCTGGGTTTGTTTGTATCAGGGCCTCTTGCTTCGGGTCCGTATTCTGAGGCGCATGGTCAAGGCATGTGAAGGAGGCAGAACCCGTGCATGAGCCAAAACCCACAGTCAATGGACGTTCGTGTTAGAGCCGGGTTTGCAGCGCGGACGGTTTAGGGTTTAGGGTTTAGGGGTGTGTTGATGGATACCACTATGAACGGCTGGTTACGAGGCACAGGGAGAACTGAGCGGAGTCTCTGGGAGACAATCGACTACCTCGATGTGGTTGCTGCTGTTTTATCCATCAGCTAAAGTCCCACTTCGTAGTACCATTCCTTAGCTTTCCTGCTATGAATGTAATTACCACATAACCCTATAAAGACCGGCCCTAAACCTGATCATCTACCCCAGCTCAGGATTTAGGCTTCCGAGGTCTCAGCCTTCAAAGCATTCCCGAACCCCCAGATACCTACTATATAGGGCCCTAGGGGCTCTAGTACCCTATATAGTAGGTACCTGGGGGGTTGGGGACTGACCGAGAACCCCGACTTCAATGTTGCCACTTCACGCCGCTCTTCTTCCTATCAGGATGTCTTCTTATCGCTCTCATCACTCCGCTTCTTCTTGCAGCTGCAAGCGCTACCTTTGTTCTCATGATTTTGGCTCTGTTCTTTTTTGCTAGCTCTAAAAACCATGGGAATTTTCCCGTCGCTGGAGGCCTGGTCATGGTGCCCTCCAGTGGACGTGGCGCCTCAGCCGCTGCCCGCAGTGGCACATCGTGCCTGAAAGCATCAGCTTCGGAAAGCGGTTTGAGGGTTCCTTTTTGCCTAAACCTGTGAAAGGGCGAAAGGGTCTGGAGGGTTCAAATCCTTAACCGGGCCAAGCGCAGCTTATGATGGCTTGGGAGTGAAAGGATTTCAGGGCTTCGCGATCTAGCGTAGGGCTTGATTGACCCCCTCTACTGTGGATTAAGGTATCACTTCTGAGCCGCGACCAAGTGGCACAAGCGGGGTTACCAACAGCCAGCATGACTGTTACTCACAGCTGTGCTGTCCAGGCTAAGCACCAGTAAATGCAAGCATAACCGCTCGTCCTTCCAGACCTTAGCATTCTCAGTTTATTCTGGCTAGCTTATCTCACTCTTGCTGACTCATACACGCGCTTCAGGTTTCAGGCATCCAGAAGTGCACGGCGGTCCGGAAGTTGGCGCTTCTGACTTTCACAAACCTTTTCGACGCTAGCTTCACTGATCTCCTGCTGTTGGGAGTTTCGGAAATGAAAAGCACCACTAAATACATAGCAAGAGCAAGAGACTTGCTATGAAAACCGGATGAACTGCAGAAATCCCTACTGTTACGAACCACCATGTTGAGTGCATCCGTGTGTGGCCATGAGCTCGGCATAGTATTTATGGTGACCAAGGTCGAAAGAGAAGCTTGGCAAGCCGGCCTAAACCCCATACTACCCCGTCGGCTACAGAAACGGACCTGACTGAGGGATTTCCGGAACCTTCAAAGTTTCCCTTCACTGCAGGTTTCGCCTGGGTTCCAGGTGGTCTGGCCTCTGATCTGCATCCGCCTCACCGCATCCATGATCAGTCTCTTTTTATTGCTCTTTTTTCACTAGCAGAAAGTCCTGTAGCAAACGCTGGCTATCACTTAGGATTCGAGGTTCTAGGGTGCGGTGCAAGCAGCATGGTCCTAGCGGCAGTGAGCTGGCTATTGATATGAATCTACGTAACAAGTGCTCGTCGAAGTGGGACTGGTGGATGCAGGGGATGCTGCACTGGGAACAAAAGCATCAGTTCACAATTTGCGAAGCCCGTCCTATGACTTGTTCGTCTCTGGCCTAGCAGCCTAGCACAGGTGCGAGTGTCTCTGGCAAAGCACAGAAGTTGGAGCCAAGAACCCTAACCCCCCCTCCAGGCACCTACTAAAGAGGGAACCAGAGCCCCTATAGGGCCCTAAATAGTAGGCACCTGGAGGGGTTAGGGGAAACTGGCAAAGCCCGCGAAAGACCTGCAGCGGCTTCTCAAGGGACACGACGTCAATGGTCACAACCTCGCTTTGAAAATGTGGAAAGGGGCTCCGGTTGATGATACAAATCCTGCACTATCCATAATAATCAATATACCATGATTCCCATAGTTTAGGTCCTTAAAGTAATGCAGGCTTTAGATCATTCACAGTATATGACTCAAACCCAACTGTGTGTCACAGTGCGCATCATCGCTCCCAAGGCCTCCTTGCCGGTTTCAGCATCTTTGCTGCTGTGTTTGCCGTTGGTGTCTCGCTTCTCCTGTCTCGATTGGCACAATACCGACTTGGGGGCACCTTTATAGTTGCTTCATAGATCTACACCTCAGGGAAAGATACTACCAGCATTGATGTCGTCCGGTCCGTCCTCGTTGCCTCGTGTAGAGAGCCCAACCTGGACCATAACTTCCGCGCATGGGGAGCTCTTGCCGGCCAAAAAGAGCGGCAACGATCCGCTATAGCCAGTGATGACATCACCGCCCAGCACCACGGCATGGAGATGGCGTGTAGACCTCGCCGGACTCTCCGGGGCAGACGTGTTTCGGAGGGTTTAGGGTTTAGGGTTTACACATCTCTATAAGTAGCACTTCGTATAGTTCATACCTAGACTGTCAGTGACTGTCAGAAGCGCTTCTAAGCATCTTTGTTTTGGACCTGCCATGTTGCGCATGAGAGGTGCTCGAGAATTCCCTGCACATGGAGGCCCGACACATCCGCTTCCGACGCTCTGAGTAGAAGAACTACCATCATGAACAAGCAACGCAAATGGTAAACTTCGTATCAAGCCCTGTAAAACCTTGACAGGATGCTGACAAAATGGCCCCTTGCCCACCAGTGCAGTTGCTCCATGCCACGGACAGTCTCCAAACACGACTTGTTTCGACAACCCGCACACTCGGAGAGGTCGAGGCACCGTCGCAAGAACAATGAATGGTAAATCTACATGAGACACTCTGCAAAGTGGGGCGGTGCCCGATTTTCTCGTGGATGGTATCTGATGATGGTGCGAGGAGTTTCAAAGCTCAATCCCGAAGTAAAACTATAGCGGCCAGGCCCACCGTCAGGGATAAACGGTTCGCTTTGAGTGTCTGCTTTCATGTTCAAGGGATGCAGGCATCATACGTTGTATGCCATAAACCCTTTGCGGCTTGCGAGGTGAAGGGTCTCATGTGCAAGTATGAGAGTGGTCGACTTGCTGGCTTAACGGGTACCGTCAAGTACGATTCACTGGGAACCAGAGTCATGACATGCATGGTTCCGGTCACGGTGCCAGCCTCCTTTGAAGCTCCACGAGAACAATCGTGAAAAACAGAACCTGCAAAGCACACACTGACCACGCNNCCCCCCCCCCCCCCCCCCCCTGTCGACACTTCACATTCAGGAGCATTTCGTCTTCAACAACTTCAGGGCAGAACTGCTCGAGACCTCGAGGCTACGAAGGGCTGAAAAGAGCTTCGGTTCATGAGGAGTTCTGTTGGGGCTCGAATTTGACAAGTAGGCGGCTCTGAGCTACCTCATCTCCGAAGTAGCCATTTTGCAATCCACAGCACCTAACCAGAGAGACTGTGTAAAGCTCCTGTGCCCGACAGCCAGAACTTGAAGTTCAGCTCCCTACATAATAGAACTGCAGCCCGGGAACCCGAAGACGAAGAAGACGCACGCAAAAAGCAATCCTACTGGCAGCTAATTTGCCGCTGCAGTCCCATCTCCAAGTCCACGAACTGTAGCAAATGCTTGCGAAATCCTATGTTGAAGGCACCTGGCAGCTTTCCGACGCTCATGTCTTTTCTAAAAACTTCCATGTACTGCTGCTAGCACTCTCTCTCTCTCTCGCTCTCTCCGTTCTTGCCTTCCTATACACCCTTAAAGAGATGCCCATACTGTCTGCTACTTGCTCCGCTGCTGGTTCCAAAAAATATATGATGCCTTGTTGGCGTGCCCACCTCAACCCTGTATCCTGCATACACCCTACACCCCAAATCCCTGTCCCTTACACCCCAAACCCTATAAAGTCTTGACACTCGAATTTGACACATACTTCCATACATCCTAAGGTCCCAAACGTCCTGAATGTGAAACTCCGCCCTGAAATCCTGTGCTGTTACTACTGTGCTCGAGTCTGGCCCGTCTAGCCAGACCTCCTATGCTCCCCAAACGTGAAACATCTTAATCCTGAATTCGAGAACCCCTTAAAGCCTTCATTCCCAAACCCTAAACCCTAAACTCAGACCCTGATCTGCCTGATTCTTCGTTACGGGGATGGCGGCTGTGGAGCTGAAGGTGGTCCCGGAGTCGGAGACCATCTTCAAGTTCACAGAACCTAAGGCAATGCGTGGACCTTTCCGCAAACAAAGAGGTCCTGCTTTATACACCCGTCTACTCTCGGAGTAGTAGACCCCGGACTTAAAAGAGACCCTAAACCTTAAACCCTAAA